CTGCTGCTGCTGCTGCTGGGGCGGAATGTGCGAGAGATGCTGTGGTGGCGCCGGAGGAGTCATCATGTTTGCGTGTGCACTCCCGCCAACAGCTTGCCGGGGGGGGGACTGTCGGGGCAAAACAAAGCTTCCCACCACGCCCGTGGCGCCTGCTGCGCTGCTGTCTGTGTTGGCGCCTCCGGTATCGCTCATGAAGATGTTGCCTGGGTTGTGGGAGGAGGAGCGTCTCCTGCCACCTCATGGTCTATTCATTGTTAAGCCGCGTTTTCAGTCTTTTCGCTACTTTTTTTTTAGTTGGCCATTTGGAAGAACTTTCGGAACAACAACATCTGTCTACAAGGTTCGGCGGCGGAATCTGCACTTTTTTTTGACAAGACCCACCCTGAGTATTCATTGTTATCTCGAGAAGAGTCTACCTGTCTCTTCCCCTCGTCAACGGTGCTAACGTCGAAGTTTGGTACTTACGAGAGTTATTTCAGTCCATGGGGAGCCGAATTCACGACCTTTGCGACTAGCGGCTTACGTGGACACCACTAGACCACCGGGGCGATCGGGCGCGGGGTTGGAGCGCCGATGAAGGTATCTCTCCCGAGCACCCGATGATTTCTCGCTTTCCGTGTGTTAGCCAACAGGGGCTAACGTCCCGTTGGCCGCAGGGATGATCGCTCGTTTCAGCTTTCGGTGGAATCAGTGGCAATTTTCCTGGAAATTTCCACGTATGCCGCAAAATCTGGCGTACGAAGAATTTTGTCATCTTCATACCAATAACACAATGAATGCATCAAATATCGAATCATGCATCTCGTCCTCAGATGAAGCTGTTTGTAATTTCATGCGCATGTAGCGGAAACGATACATACCACACGTGTTGCAGCCCATGGAGAAAATACCAGTTTTTTTTAATACAATCAAAATAAAAATCGTGGAATCACATCCCGGGAGGGTGCGCCGCGAGGAAAACTCGGTTATTCTGCTTCACCTCTCGCGAAAGGGGCGATCCAAAATAGTGCGTAGCATCAAATCGTTCCTCACCTACCAGGTTACCTACCCTGTGATTTTCGAGCAATTTTATGCACTCCACGAAGGTGCAACTTTTGCTCGAAATTCTGTTACGTGCTTCCAGGACTTGAATTTCTTGATAAGATTCGAGGTAGGCTCGTGAAGATGTCTGGTGTCCCTTTTTTTATGCGGCGGTAGAAGTACTGGAGTTATGAGGTGATTTTGGTCGTTTCTGTTCCCTTCTGCAGAGCAACTCCGATCGCCAAGAGGGTCAATCCCGAATAGTGCATAGCGGCAAATCGTTGAACACCTGAGGCTAAGCATATTCCAGTTTTCAGTCAGTTTGGTTCACGCTACGAAGGTGCACCGTGGGGGTGAAAGTTGCCTCCTGAGAGCTGAAAAAGCCGCGTGCTGCAGAGGGAACTGACTTCAATCCAGATGTCATGGTGCAGCGCTTTCCCTATTCAGAGCAAAATCAGAGGGCCAAAACCAACCTCCACCCGTGGAATGCTGAGGCCTTAGGTTGGTGACCTCGGCAGTTCGTTTCTCTCAGGAAGGAGGAGGTGTTGCGCGAGTTATGTAGTGGTCACAACTTCAACGTTCAATGTGAAGACCACAACAAGAACAACAGCAGCAGCATGCGGTAATCGCTAGCATTGCTGCCGCACTCGATACACTTGCTGCAGTCCGTTCCCGCTAATCAAAGTGATGAGTAGTGCTCTGGATACATTTTCGGTCTCTTTGCCGAGCTGCCCCTCCTTGACTTTGTAGCCGAAAGCTGGTTTAACGGGAAAACATGACTTGTGACTATGTCTCCCTCTGGTCGGAGTGTTTTATCAAACGATGTAAAAAATGAAACCTCGCGTTCGTGTCTGTTGAGTCTCTTAATCCCCCCCCNTCCCTCAATCTCTCTCTCGCTCACTGTCTCTCGCTCGTCCTCGTTGTCGCTCTTCCTCGTCCTCTCTCTCTCCCTCTATCTTCACCCTCTCCCTCTGTGTGTGTGTCCCTCCGGAACATGACCGTCGTGTCGTATGCATCCATCCGGTCGCCGTATGGCTACTGCATTGCGGCGGGAATCAGAGGTGACGACGTATCGATCTGAGATTGGGGAGAGACTGCACCGCCACCACTCTTTCTTTTTTCTTGAATCGTACCGAGGCCATCATGTCTGGAACGTGAGTGTTCGATGCCGATCCATGTCTCCTCCCGCTGCCTGCGTTAAGTATGTCCCAGGGTGTTCACTTGATCCGTCTTTGACGTTGGTCGGCAATCCCTTCTGCATGGGCCCCAATTAGGTGTAAGAAATTTTCCTCTCGGATAACCCGTAGCCTCGATCATCTTAAGTTAAGTCCTTCGAAAAGCCTCTGCAAGACGATGCCTGTTGGTCGCAAGTTAGTCCCCAACGAGACTGCAAACGACGCTGCCGCGCCACCGAGCAGCGTGTGGGCTACGGAGCCTCATGCTGACCTTCCCATCAAGATGGGCACCTCGGGAGCAGCAGCGAAGCCGCCCACGACGGTTTTCAAGGTGTTCCAGAAGGCGGTGGAAAATCACGGGGAGAACGTCGCCCTTAAGTTCAAGGACACTTCGGGGGTGAGTCTTTAAATTTTTCATTACATGATTGCTGTTGTCGACGAGGGAATAAAGGGGAGGTCAATTGTTGTTATTATGCATGATGATGAGGGGAAGTACGGGGAGTTTTTTGTTGTCGTTTATGCGAAAAGATGGAGGAATTTTTTTCATGTTGCTGCTTCTGTTGTTGTTGTTGTTGTTGTTGAGGAAACGTCTTTTTCGTCTTCGCAGGTGGTTGATGAGAGGGAAGAGGGAAGAGTATGTTGTTGATTAGGAGGGGAAAGGGGAGTTTCAGCTTTTCATGTTTTGGGTTGTGACCACGGAATGCGTCCGCGTCAGTTGGACCAGTACACGGACATTAAAAGGGTACTGAGCGGAGGCCGGAACGTTTTTTTTTATGTGAAGACAACCATACGAAGTTCAATGTCGGGAAGTGAGTGAAAGGGAGCACGGCGTGGTTTTTCAACATTCCTGCAAAGGCACAGCGAACTCATCTATCTCCACTTAGTGACGAGAGTCCCTGGATTATTCCCCCCCCCCGCGCTTGGTGGTGTGAGAGCCTGGTCCGGTGAGAACCCGGCG